TTTCTTTTTTTTTCAATTGTTGTTTAAATACTTCACAATAAAAGAATGTGCTCCCGATGGAATTTTTACTGCAAAAAGAAAACTTCTCTCTTTCTTCTTTCTTGTATCTTATACACTTTGAAACACACGCTGAAGCTCTGAAACCTCCCGAGGAAGACGGCTGCTCACATGCTGTCAGACTATTAATGATAATGTCAGAGTACATGACACATATTTAAACATTAAAAGAAGAAGGATTAAGGCTGCATCTCAGTCTCACTTTGATGATTCAACTTTACATTGATATCCTCAACATGCCACTTGTGATCAGACTTCTGGTTTTGCTCTTCAGCAGCATTTTAAAATAATTCCTCTTGCCTAAGGAGGATGTTGGAAAATGTACATGAGRGTAGATGTTCCTTTTTAACAAGTGCAGAGCTCTGTTTTTTCACAGGGTTTGGAGTGTGTTCTGCTTTTCACAAAACTGTCAGCAGCAGAATCGTCTTTCAGAAATGCTCAGGATGCTTTCCTGGGGAAAATGTCCTGTCCTTTGAGCTCTGCTTTGGAGACATCTCCCTGACACCCACCTGCAGCCCCATCACCTATCCTGGGCTCTGAAGACAAGCCTTTCAAACATCCCAGCTGTACCTACAACTAATTCTTGCCACCCACTATATTATTGCCATTTCCTTTTCCTTCCTACTTACTTATCTTTAAAAAAAAAAACCACATTGTCTGAAGACACATTCTGCAGTTTCACAGTAATTTCTTGCAGCCACATCAGTTTTTATCACCCACTGGCAGAAGGCAGAGACTGATTTAGGGCATGATGCTGTAGTGCCAGGGAGAGCTTGACCCTGTACTGGGTGGAGTTAATCCACGACTTTGAGTGGTTCAGTGCCAGAGGATGCTGGCATGAGAGGTTTACACTTCTCCCATGATTTTTACTCAGAACTCTTATGCCCTTCACAGGGGCCTGGCAAATGGTTTATTTCCTTATTTATAGAACCACAGAAGCATTTAGGTTGGAAAATACCTCTACAATCAAGCCAAACCATTCCCCCAGCCCTGTGAAGGCCACCACTAAACCACGTCCCTAAGCACCATATCCCCATCTTTTAAATCCCCCCAGGGATGGTAACGCCACAACTTCCCCAGGCAGCCTTTTCCAATGCCTGACAACCCTTYTGGTCACAACATTTTTCTTAATATCCAACATAAATCTCCCCTGGTGTAACCTGAGGCCACTTCCTCTTGTCCTTTATTTACCCTTGAAGGAAGGCAGAGGTAACAGAGCAGCATGACCAAGTGGTGCTGCTGCTTATGATGAAGTTATTTTCTTGGTGGGTCTCCAAGCAGAGGAGCAACCCCTTTCCCACCTCCCCAGTGTGCAGCCACGGCCACATCAGCACATCACAAAATGCCAGACATATCAAGCACAGAAAATCTCAGCAGTAGCAAAGGGTGGAAATGGGAGCACAGCAAGAAGGAGAAAGGGCAATGGGGTAGGACAGTGGCACCATCTGCTTGGCCCTGCCATAGATTAAACCATCCCTGGAGTGTGTCTGTGTCCTACAAGTACCTGCCTTACTCATATCTGTGAAAAAMAGTCCCCCCAGGACACCGCAGGACTGCTGAAATGACACAGCCCTGAGTGCAGACAAGGCTGACATAACGTGCTCAGCAGAAAGGAAATGTCAAAAGCTCCACTACAAGTCACAGCCATGGTCCTGTCACCCTGTATTGCTCCCTCACAGCCAGGTGATTCCCTCCATCTGTTTTTTCCCCTCATGCCATCATTTTGGCACAGCAGAATGAGCTGCTGCATCCATATGGCACAGAGCAGTCAGCACCACCTGGAGATTTTTTTGTGTTTGCTCCCAAAAGCCGTGTTTCTCTGGTGGCATTGCACGAGGACACGCTGCTCCCAGCCCAAATTCCACAATGCTTTGTTTTCCAGAGGCCAGGTGGTGAGCTCAGGCATCACTGCCCATCTCCACTGCACATGGAAGGCACACCAGCAGTTCTRGGGCACTGAAGGGATGGGTTTGCTCTTCAGGAAATTCACCTTTGCCTAATTGAAAGACTTTAATTTCATCTAAACAACTTAAGCTGGTAGAAAATGTTGCATGGACCCTTTTCACTGCAGTTGAAATCTCTCTCCCTTCAGATTAGTCCCAATCAAGTTTCAGTTTCAATCTCCTTTAAGGCAAACAGGAGCGACCCAAAGGGACGGTGACAGGACAGTCCCCACCCAGTTTTCCCTGCTCTAAGTGTGGAATCAAGTGCAGGTGAACGCAGTGGGTGCAGGTTTGTGGGTGCAGCTCCAGGGCAGCTGTCAGTGCCCCTCTGGGAATGGGGCAGAGATAGGAACGGGCTGGGTGCACCATTCCCTGYGTCACCCCAAGGGACAAGGCYCWTCGGGACTCAGCCCCCAGCCAGGYCACYCCGGCCATCCTGGGATACCCATAAMCWYAARGATACTAAAAAGGAGAGCAGGGAAGGTCTGGCAGGCGGTTATGTGACTAGGGACACTCAGGTTTAGGTTTCTTCTTGGAAGCACTCCGAAACGCAGTGAAAGCCAAGGGAGCAGCTAAATAACCAGCACTGGGAAGATAAACACACCTTAAGGGAAGAACGAGGGGGGAAAATGGTGTAAATGGCTGCAAATGCCTTTGGTTTCAATGGGCTTCATCTATTTACCACCCAGATGGATTTGGTTCATGGAGTCAAGCTGGAAGAGCAAGGGGATTTTAGGTAGGCAGAATTTAATGTCTGAGACTGCAATTTTGGGCCAAGGTCYTCCTCTTGTGAGAAGAGCCACCAAATGTTTAACGTGGGCTCCCAATGAAGGATAGATCCAGCTGGAGGAGGTGGTGCTACTGCTATTCACTAGGATGCTTGGGAGAAACATGGTCAACTGAAAATCCCTTTGCTGGCTCTCAACTTTGAGAGTTAGAGGAACTGAAAGATGGAGAAAATAGTCATTAAGGCATGCCCTAGCATTAGCAGCAATAATTCACAGGCTCTACTTGAGGATATCAGGGCGGTTTGCCAGCACCACCACAAGGCAGGAGGGTGCTGCTACCCACACTGGGAAGTCAGGCACTTCTGAGTTCAACCGACTCACCCAAAGTCCTTCTGCAAAGTAAAATAAAACTGCAGTGACACCTGGGRCACAGCATGGAATGGAGGAGGCAGCACCGCTGTTACAGATGTGGTGCTGAAGCAGGACTCAGCACATCTTCTCCGCTACTTTCTGCACAACCTCTGCTTTCTCCACCTGAAGAAACCCTCGCTCTGCCTGCTCTGGTGCAGCCTGGCCACAGCAGCAAGAGGAAATTAGTCATCAGGCAGAGCTCATCTTGCATCACGGACCTCAACGAGGTCAATAGAAATTCCTTCTCCCCACCCCATGTAGTGCTGGTGGCTGCTAGGGTGACATGCCACGGGAGGAAGAAGAGGAGTAGGGCAAAGAACCAACATCCCTTTCACTGCTATGAATTCAAGCATCTCACAGTTTAGATCCCATTGATTCTCACTACAACTTAAATGTCCAAGGGGTTTAGGTGATGTGAAAAGCCAGCTGCCTAAATAAAAGAGACACATTTAAAAAATGCAAAGGATCTCCTGAAGTCTCTTCCCTCCCGAAATTTTCCTACAATCCGGATAAACGCAGTTTATTCCCAGCTATGCCACAGCCCTGTGAACTACACCTCTCCATCCCTCCCTCACACCCTCTCTACCCACTCTGCAGAGACCCCTGGCACTGACTCCTCAGAAGCTGAGGTAAGGGAGTTGAGGGGTTTTGGGGTGCCAGTAGAAGGCAGCCCAAAGCTGGTAGCAATTACCCACGTTCCCTTATTAGCCTTGTGAACAGAGCAGACTGTTGCTGCGGAATAATTCTTCCATGGGGATCCGAGTCGGTAGCGGAGCAGCAACCGAAGGATTCCGGGAGAGACGGGAGGGATGTGTGAAAAGCGCTGGAGCTCCCCCAGTTCCCCATCCCGCCGGGGCGCCCGCTGTGCTCCAGGGCACATTTAGGAAGGCAACGAGAAGTCAGGCACCCCCCCGCCTCGCAGATGAGGTTCTTGATGCGGGAAACCAGTGATAGGAGAGGAGAAGCGGGATGAAGCGKGTTGGGAACCAAAGCAAATCACAGATTTCCCTGGGGAAGCAAGGCGGGAGGCTGGGGGGGAAGCGCACACGGTGGGTCGCGGCGAGTCTCCGGGGGGCAGGATTTCTCTTCCATCGCATGGAAGAGCGAGATTAAAGAAGAAAGTGGGAGTGGGGTGGGAGGGAAGGGAAGGG